AGAGAAATAATTTCTGTTAAAATTCGAAGAAAATTTTCATTCTCTTTCGTTCCATCCCCCACCCCCCCACCCCCACCGGCGACCTCCATCCACCCTATACCCCTTTTCCTCCTACCCACCCCACCCCACCCCAGCCCTACCACCCACCACCCCTTCCTCGGCCCTGTAATTATTTAACTCAATATTTTTATTTTGTCAATACAAATAATTTTGTACTTCTTCCGTCTTTAAAACTTCTCGGTCTGACTTGGCATTTCTTTTTCTTTTTTTACAAAACTTGGCATGAGTTTTAATTTAATGTTATAATAGCTTTGACTTTTCAATTTTAAATTTTATATTTTAAATTATAATTTTTATTTTTAAATTTTGTAATTTAAAATTAAGTTTAAACTTAAAATTAAAAATTAAAAATATTTGTTCGTGATTTTATAAATAGTTTTACTGAACAAAATTATTGCTTCGGGTATCAGTTCTAGAAAAAATCCAACAAATTGGGAACAAAACACTACTCAATTTAAATGTATTCAAATGCATTTTTCTTTAAAGTGGAGTAAGCGATATCTTGTGACTTGTGAGTGGTGCCATTTCAATGGAACCAAATTGGGATTTTTTATGCTGACTCAACAAATATTTTTAAAATTTTTCTTTATGAATTCCCAAACCATTTCATATTGGGTTTTTTTTTGTAAAGTTTTTGTATGGATTATTCCCAAACCATTTCATAAGTCGTGTGCATCAATTCTCAGCACTGGAGTAAACCATTTAAGAAGTAAAATCTCTGTCTCGTATTTGTTCAGTTTTGACTTTTTTAATCCTTTGACCTATAATTAAATAAAATTTATATTATATATTACTTAGATAAACTAATATTTTAAAAATATTTCATATTATAAATCTAATAAAGCTATTTTTGTATCAATGACTAATATCGTTTTTATTTAGTTTAAAGTCAAAGTTTACCAATTTTAATTTAAAAATATCAAAAGTAAACAAATATTCTGGGATAAAGGGAGTAGCATTAAATACACATAGCAATGATTGTGCATGACAAGATGCAATTGCCTTTCAAAATCAAAGATTAATAAGCAAACAATTATATTCATAACACTGGTTTTTTTGTTAATCAAAGAGAAAAAACATTAAGAAGACATAAAGTTGCGATTGCAAATAAATGTAATGAATTCAAACATAAAAATAAAAATTGCTAAACTAATAAAGAGGGATGGCTAAGTAAGAATGAATTTTGCTAAATGAATAATTAGTCTTAATGAATAAATTAAACACAATAGTTTAAAGACAAGAAAACATTCTTAAACTCAAAACGCCTGCCATTTAAGGGAATAAAAATGAGTTCGAATTCATGAATATGATATTCAAAATTAACTATTTAATTAAAGTGAGAAGATGGCTTCTAAGTTCATTAATCTGCAGAATAATCCACTAAAAGGAATTAGAATTGAGGGCTTCAATTCCAATTCTGGTGTTTGGTAGCCCAAAAATTATGTGGATTTGGAATTGATAGTGCAAAAAATGAATTGGGATTGATAGAATTCAATTCTATGGAATTGAATCCCATAGAATTTCAATTCCAATTCCATCAATTTCGTATACCAAACGGACCCAGAATGATGGATTAGAGATGATGGTGAAGCCAAAACTCTAACCACTCTTGCTTTTTTGGAAACTGTTGCATGAAAACTGGAAAGAAAACAACTTTCTAAGACTGCTCCCATTTTGAAGCTTCAAGGCAGTCTGAAGTGCACAAAGAACATCCTTCATTAAAACTACCAGAAAATTGCTCCTGGATATCCCTATTTTGAGAAAATAATTGTCGGGTACCTCACATTTTAAAAATATATACTCCGTGGTACCCTCTATTTTGAGAAACTAACTATCGGGTACCTCACATTTTTAAAATATACTCTGAGGTACCTCCAAATATACATTAACTTACCCGTGAAGGACATTCCGTCTTACTCTCCGTCAAAGCCAGTTACTCCATTAATTTTAAGAAATGGGGATTTGGAATTCCAAAAATAACCTTGGTTCTTATACTTTAAGGATACGATCTATCTACTTTAATCGAAACTTTCGAATGAAACAGAATGTCCCTCGCAGGTAAGTTAATATACATTTGAAGGTATCCCGTGGTATATTTTAAAAATGTGAGTTACCCGACAGTTAATTTCTTAAAATAGAGGGTACCCCAAAGTATATTTTAAAAATACGAGGTACCCGGCAGTTAGTTTCTCAAAAAAGGGATACCCAGGGGCAGTTTTCTGTTGAAACTACTACGAACTAATGTGACTGGAGAAGCATAATTTAAAATGCTCATCAAAAGCATGTGCAGGAACTCAAAGAAATATTATAGCAACATACCTACCCATTTCTTGGTTTTTAAGGCAAAACCAAGATTGTTTCCATGCCTTCCCCTGACAAACAGAGAGCCAATTCTTCTCTAGCCGCGGCTTCCACTTCTTCATCAACTAAGCAGTGCTCCTGTGGCTGAGGGATGAACTTACGAGCTGCGTACACATAGAATACCACTGCAAGACCCTCCACTCCCGCCACAACAATCGAGAGAATGTCAAGGGAAAGAAACATTTGGACAAAAATAGCTGCAATGTGGCTTAGATAAAAGAAAAACATTGTCGCCTTCAAGAGAAATCCCCTTCAAGAGAAATCCCCTTCAAGAAACTGAAGGTGTAAAACCAGAGCTCCCAGGCACAGCCCAAACCAGTCCGCATGACACTCGTCTTATCCTCACCCTCACAAAACATGTTCAATGCAGTCAAAAACACCACAACAAGCATAAGATAATGAATCCTAGAAGCATATGCCATGTTCGCGTACAACACACGAACCCAGAGAGCAAACAGAACCAAGTAAACGAAGGAAAAGAGGTAGTAAACCGTAGGCAAGGTCGTGCAAGCCAGATAATTGCGTTGTTGTAGTCCGTCTCCGCCCTCCTCCAAGGCCATGAATTGATCTTCCCAAAGTCCAGAACAAGCACTAAGCACACTTGAAAGCCAAAATTCAGTTGGCTCAATGATCTCTTCTGTACGTGGCTTTCAAGAAAAACTCAAGAGCCTTCTCCCATAGATCATTCTGCTCACACACTGCCAACAATGAGCACCAAGAAATCTACTTAATTGATAAGCATTGGAAAATTAACATGTGGCCCCCTAATTTGGAGAGACCCACTCAACATCCACACCATAACCGCGTCGAATCAGATTTTCATGCAACTGCGCGCATACCAAGCCATCGGCACCCGCATTCAAAAATGCACAAAACATTCGTAATGGGGTTGGGATGCTCTTTGCCCACCTGTAAAAGCTCAATAAACTACTCCCTAACCGTATCTATATATATGCCTTCCCTCGAGTACAGCATTAGAAATACACCCATTCCAAGTTGCAAGCAGCATTTCTCTCTGGCATTTCCTCAAACACCTTGTACGCAAGTTCCCTAGTCCCCGTTTTGCTGTTGAAGAATAATCTGGAGTTGCCACCTGTCACGGCCAGTTGTTAAATTTATCCAACTTCCTCTCCTTATTTTACGGATGTTTAGTTTCTCTCTTCTTCTCTCCTTGCTATTCTATATATAGTTGTTTTTGTATCTTCAGTAGAGGTAACAGAATATGCAACAGAAATGTAAGAAGGATCTCCATTGCTAAAGCTTCAATAAAGATTTTATTCTCTTTCGTTTTTCTCAATCCTTTTCTCCAGTGCATTTTATCATGGTATCAGAGCCGACTTCAATGGCGAAATTGAGATCGGAAATTGAGATTTTTCTTTGATTTCTTTCCGATTGTGATTCATCAGCCTGAAATCGCAATTCTTCCTCGAGGTTCTTCTCTGTTCTACCTTTCTCTGTGAATTTGTTCTTCTCCAGTTTCGTTTCAGCTTTAATGGCGGAAGAAAACTCAAACACTCGAGGATCGATTGATATACACAGCGAACTGTATTTGCATCCTACAGAATCTCCTAGTTTTGTTCTCGCTTCTCAGAAATTGAATGCTGAGAACTTCTCGCAATGGAGAAGATCTGCTGAGATAGCCCTAAGCGCGAGAAACAAACTAGGATTCGTTACTGGTTCTACGAAAGCACCAGATCCAAATTCTCCTTTGTATCAACAATGGATTCGCTGCAATAATCTCGTTATCTCATGGATTTTACATTCGGTAGAAGCGGAATCGCTAGCAGCATATTGTATTGTGAGACAGCCCAAGAAATTTGGGAAGACCTAGCAGAGAGATTCAGTCAATCCAATGCTCCAAGGCTTTACCAACTACACAAAGAAATGGTTACATTGGTACAAGGTTCTGATTCTGTGTGTGAATATTTTACCAAACTGAAGGGGCTGTGGGATACATACCTGACTATGGTAACTCTTCCTCACTGCAAATGTGATGGTGCAGAGAGTTATTATAAATTGTTGCAAAATCAACAACTAATGCAGTTTTTGATGGGACTAAATGATTGTTTCAAAGTTGCTAGAGGAAACATCTTGATGATGAGGCCTTTACCAAGTCTAAATCAAGCCTACAAATTAATCAGTCAGGAAGAATCTCAGAGGGATTGCACTAATGTGGCACCTCTAGCATATGAATCCAGTGCAATGGCATCTGTATCAGCTGTACATATCAAGCGCACTGCATCCAACGAAGGCGTCCAATATCAAGCTAGTCTTAACCGCTAGTGAGTGAAGCTGCTGGCCAACGGTGCTTGAATTGATTGAGAAAAGCCCACGCATTGCACAGGCAAGGGAATGTGAAATCGTTAGGCTGAATGCCGTCGCGGTGCATGTTGCACAAGTGGGAAAGACTGGCGGCGAAGACGGACGGAATTGAGGCGGCCGAGTTTGGAGTAGAGGTAGATGGGGTGGTTGGAAATGAACGGCGGGAGCGGCGATTCGAGGGTGGGTTTTAAAGATCTGAGCGTGAACTGCTGCTTGGCATAGAGGGAGAGACCGAGTCGAAACGGCCGATTAGCGAACCCAGGGGCATTGGCTGTGTGAGGAAGGACACCTATTCATTGCTTCTGAATAGGTGTTTGGCATGTATTTTTCAGAACAGGGACGATGATCGAACCGGTCGAAGTATTGATTCATGTGTCCACTGGTGGAATCAGTAGTTCAATTGGTCGAACCGGTGGTTTAAACATATTTAAAAATTATATATATATATATATATATATATATATATATATATATATATATATATATAAAATATATATCGGTATGTCTAAAATAACACCAGTGCTACTGGTGTCATTTGCTTACACCAGTTCGTTTGGGATACCTTCGGTGCTCCGTTTGTAAAAACGACGGTTCCTTCCCCCCTAACATCCCCCTAAACCTCCACTCCAGCCCCACCCTTTCCCCAGCCCCCCTCCCTACCCTGGGGGTTTAGAGGGGAGGGACGGAGGGTTAGGGGGGTAGGAACCTTCGTTTTTACAAACGGAGCATCGTAGGTACCCCAAACGAACTGGTGTAAGCAACTGGTGTATAAGTAACTGGTGTCATTTTAGACGCTATATATATATATATATATATATAGGTCCAATTTTTTTTTAAAAAAATATTTGCACTAAATAGCATTAAAACTTAAGTCATTTCCGAAACCATCCATACCCGTTATCGTGCACAGATATGAGTATTCATATTTACTTGAATAAAGACCAATGCATAATGACTAAAAGGGTTACATTGGGAAGAAAAACATATGTGGTGCTATTCAGGAAAAGTCATTATCTTTTAGTACTATTTAAGTAAATTCCTCTTTTTAAAACTATGATTTGGCATTAATTATTTAGTTTCTCTATTTTAAATGAAATCGTTTTACTCTGCAAGTTTCTGCTTTTTTCTACCACTATTTTGTACATTGAATCGCATTTGGTAGAAGTAATTATGAGGTGCTTTTATTTTTAGATTTTGTGGAAATCACTTTTTCCATAAGTTAATCCCTCCCAAATACTCTCTTATGCCCTAAGTCCACATTTAAAATGTTGACCTTCTCACATTTTCATGAGCTTGCATTTTGAATATTTTCCTTTTTGAAAAGACCGACCCGGACCACGACCTGAACGAGACCGAATAAGGGACCTTTCGTGGACCGGACCGGATAAGATAAGGACCAGACTGGGACTGGACCGAATACATGTGATTTTTTTTAAAAAATTATTTTTTATTTAATTTAAAGTATTCAATTGCACAAAATTATTACTATAATAGATTTGACCGGTCCGCACCGGTTGACCGGACCGTACCAAAGATCGAATAAGAAAAAAGTGAGGACCAAAGACCGGACCAGAAAGGGACCTGTCCGGTCCGGTTTTGACCGGGTTTCAGGTCGGTCCAGGTCCGAGCTGAATAATGCACGCCTCTAGTTTTTATTAACTGTTTAATGAAATAAAATATTCTTTTCACCTCTTGTTTTGTATAAATTTTGATATATACTTTTTAAATATGTAAGTTTTTTATTTATGTACTAATTTTTAAATAAAAAGAATTAAAAAAATTTAGAATTTTTACTTCATTTTGCGTAAAGTGTAAATGATTTAAGGAGAGACTATTATATTTCGCATGTCAAATCTTTTTTCTTAGTATTACATGAAATATAAATCACCCTAAATAGGACTCATAGAGAAAAGTACCAAAATACTCCCTCCGTCCCCCAGTTTTTGTCCACTTTTGAATTTTGGAACTGTTCATTTAAGCACTTTGACTCATCAAATTCTCTCAATGTGTAAGCCTAAATATAGTCATGTGTAATCTTGTTTGATTTGTCTTAACATATAGATTATTAATATATAATTTCTATAATTTTTTAATATACAAATTACAAGATAAAATGGATTAAAGAAGTGCATTGGATGGTGTGTAAAAATGAAAGTGGACAAATACTCTGGGACGGAGGGAGTAGGACCTTGCACTGTGGTAATGTGACAGTGTACATGTGCACATTACTATACTTTTTTGGTAATGTATATGACCATGTTTGGTAATGTAAGTCCTATTTCGAGAATAAAAACATGGAAGTCCTATTTTGGTATATTTTTAATGTTTTAGTCCTACTTTGGTCTTTCTCCCTACATGAAACACTCTATCACAGCAACCCTTATTGTCATAATATGACAACAAGGTCTGCGATGTTTATTTAGAAAAAATAGAGATCTCTATCTCTCCTAACCTCTATGCCCTCCTACCCTCACCCCAGCAACCCACATGCTTCCCTCCCCTCACCAAAACGCCGATTGCTCGATTGGCTACAGTGTTACTGTAGTCAATCGGCATTTTGGGGAGGGAAGATGTTGTTGAGGTGAGGTCATGAGGGTAAAAATAATCAATTTTTTGAACGGATCACTGTAGGGGTCATGTGTTATTTTAGAGTGTATACTCAGTTTGGTTTATGTAATTTCCATTGAGTCAAATTAGTTCATTTAATTATGAAATAACCAAAATGTGAATTAAATTATCTACTAGCATTTGAAAGTATAACGTTAATTGATACAAAAACTAATATATGGGATCATTATTTTGCATCAATTAGCGCGACAACTCAAAATTTTAATTCGCTGATACAGTTATTTTGAAAATTTGATTCACATTTTTCTTTATTAAAGTGCCTAATTCACTCGTGAGCGAAATCAAAATAAGTATTAACTCGTTTGATGAAACGTTCTCACATTGAGATTTGTCATTGGGAAGAAAAACACATGTGTTGCTATTTAGGAAAAGTCATTATGTTTTATTGTTATTTAAGTAAATTCCTCATGTTAATTATCTTCATCAACTCTCCATCAAGAGTTGATCACTTCATGCGAATATTTATTTTTAAAGGATGTGATTTTTTGGTATTTCCTATTCTTAAAGAATGAGTTTCAAGAATAGGAAATATCATATTATGACATACGTTTTCTTTTATGTTTACAATTTTTTTGACAATTTACTACATGCCAAACTGTTTTTGATATTTCCTATTCTCAAAGGATGAGTTTTTTTGGGCTTTATCACCTTTATGTCATTATGGTTTTTGACAAAAGATAAAAAAAGAATTGATTTTTTACACTTATCAAATCTCTTGTCATAAAATCATTAATTAGCCCAAAAGATTATTTTAAAAAGTACTCCGTATTTTGAAAAGGTAAAGTGGCAGATGTTTTTGGGCGTGGAGCTCATTAGATATTATTTTGTCTCAGTTGTTTTTTTGGTGGAAAATAATTGATCAAACAATTATTAAAAGTGTTCGATAAACGGAACAACTTCTTCACCTAACAAGAATTCATTCCCAAAATGTTGGCTTTTTACTAATTTCGGAGACAACTCCCCTTTTGACAATGTCTATGACTATCTATACCCATGAATAATGGAGTAAATAAATTAACAAAACTTATGATGACATAATAATATGATACTTAAAAATTATTACTAGTAAATTGAGGGTATTCTGAAATTGTGCTTTGATTAAATAAATGAATATATATTAAGACTTCAACTCGGTGGGATAAGATTAGACTCAAGTGAGTATGTATGGTCTTAGGTTGCATTCTGTTCACCTGATCCGATCTGGCTGCTGTTACAATTAAAACTGTTTCTGGTCTAATCTGGTCTGATTTAATCCGAGCTTATTATAATAACAATAAGTAATTAGTAGAAAAAACAAGTTGAAAATACTGACTTAGATCGGTAATTTTATTTGATTCTTGACTTTGGTGGAAGATTAGTGTGGTTTGGTACCGATTAGTCTATTGCAAAAAGACTTGACCCGGATTAGAGAGTGAAGAGAGTTATAGGATTTTTACAATATACTCCGGAGTAATTTTTATATAGATATATTTAGACTTTAAATTTAATTTGTATACAAATATGTTTGTTCTATCAAAATTAAACTTAAAAATAAGTGATAACAAATTAAAAATTTCAAATGTATAACACGTACAAATTACTCTGTTTATTTTTTTGTTGTTGATTTTATCCCACTCATATTTCAAATAAAAATATTTATGTTGGATAAATACTTACTAACTATTATATATGAACCAACAATGTATATACTTTAAATAAATTAATTAAAGTTTTTTTAACTTCATTTACCCCTAAGCCTTTAAAAAATTGCTTGGATTCATCATGAACTTTAAAAATTGCATTAATGACCCCTAAACTTTTCAAGAATTTTGCAAATTCACCTTGAATTTGAAATTTTGCGCAATGTCGCCTGAACTTTTTAAAATATTGCGCCAGTGGTCTCTCTGTGTCAGATTTTGTAGTGCGTTAATTAAATGCTCATTAACATATGTGTTCGAGTTTGATGAAGATGTTATTGATTAGTGAAGAAGAGGTTTATCGAATGAAGAGCTTTATCGACTCATGTCTGACCTTCGAATTTGGTTACCGACATGGTAAGAGTTCAAAAAAAAGCTGGAAGGTGTTGGAAAATATTGGAAAAAAATTGAAAGAAGTTGAAATAAATATTATACATTTGAAATAAGAAAAATGAAAATTTTTAAAATAAATATTATACTCTACGTATTCTAACTCCTATAAGAATTATTAGTTCTGTTTTTTGTTATTTGAATTTGTTTTTTACACATTTTTAGGTCAATTTTCTTTTTCATAATGTAGTAATATATTTATTATTTTTAAATTTTAAATATTAATATTTTCTCAGATCAAATTGAATGAATACAAAATAGCTCTTTTGTACATAATTTTTGGAACATAGGTTTGTATCATTAAACCAAAAGACAAAAATAATTGGATTACTTGTATTAAAAAGTGGAAGAAAAAATAAAAATGAATGTGAATCACAAAAAATGACATCGGAAAACAATAAAAAAATAGATAAATTGAAATAGTTCATAAACTATAGTTTTGAACATAATAATAATAATCACAAAAGAATTTGTTCAAAAATAATAATCACATAAAAAATACATCATTTTTAGAGTAATTTATAAACTATAATTTTGAACATAATAATAATAATAATAATAATAATAATAATAATAATCACATAAAAATATATCATATTTAGAGTCATTGTTTGAGAAATATAGAAAAAAGTTTGAAGAAAAAACGGAAATTGTTCAAAAAATGGAAGGAATTCAAAAAAAAAAATAAAAAAAACTAGAAGTAACTAAAAAGAATAGAAATAATTGAAATAATTTGAAAAAACTAGAACAAACTCAAAGAAACTCGATAAAACTAGAAATTGATAATTTAAATTCCACAATAACATTCTATTGATTAAACGGCAAAAATAAAAAAAAAAGTTATTGCCGAATCCAAACCACATTTGGTTATATCTAATCTTTTTTGTGTGAAAATAGCCAACAAACTTTACTTAATCCATATCATTCAATTCAACATTGAGAAAGACATATTGAGTAGTGGTAACATAAGATATATCTTCATAGAGATGATTCACATTCACTACCTTCCCCATCATCCATATATAGGCATTTAATAATATATAATACGAGTAATAGTTTTAATACTCCTTGTACAATCTATGAAAACATGTTAAAACATATCATCTTTGAAGATAATAAAGACAAAGGTTTCTATATATATAATTAGAGAGGAACGGTCCTGCTCTGAGTTCTCATCATCTCAGGCCCATTCCCCTCTTCTTCACCCTCCACATTCTCTTTAGACATCTCCTCGAGGGACTTTCCCTTCGACTCCGGCACCAACAACGTGAAAAGAATGCCAAGAAAGTTGATGCATCCAAGTACTATGAGCGAGTTCTTGACGCCGATCCCAGTCGGGTAACCCGCGTCAGTCTTCTTCGGGTCGGTCGACTGGGCAGCGTACAAGAACCCGAACGCTCCCACTATCGCCCCTGCCTTCCCGGATGCAGCTGATATGCCGTGGCAGGTTGACCGCAGCCTGGCAGGGAAGATCTCCGCCGGGACCACGAATGTGGTCGCGTTGGGGCCGAAGTTGGCAAAGAAGAAGGTGAGGGAGTACATGATGACGAACCCGATCCGGTTTTCTTTGTGGGTCCAGTGGTTGTAGGGGATGGCCAAAGCGAACATGAAGACTGTCATGAAGAAGAAGCCCATGAGCTGGATGGCGAACCTTCCCATTTTGTCTATCAGGGCTACAGTGAACCAGTACCCTGGAACAGTGCTACAGATTGCAATCAGCGTCTGAGCTCTCGCAATCTTGTAGACCTCTTCCAGGGCATTCATCGTTTCCGCTTTTGGAATCCATCCTATTGCTGAGAAAATGTCTTTCTGGAATAGGTTCTGGCTGTAGAACGCTATGTCCAGCAAGAACCATGTCGTCGTCGTCCCGAGCAGATGGAGGCCGTGACGACGAAGAAACGTCTTGGAAAACATTCCGAACTCGCCACGGTTCCCTTCGTGGATCGGCTTCTCAACGTGATCCGCTGATATTTCCACCTGCATCACCTTAGACATGTCGGACGCGGCTTGTTTTGCGTTCTTTGCGACGAGGGCAGTATACCGGGCCGTCTCCGGCATCTTCATGCGCCAGTAGTAGGTGAGTGCGGCGGGGATGGCGCCGAACATGACGATGATCCGCCAAACAAAGTCGGCCTGGGAGACGGTGGAAGCGAGAGGGTCGGTTTTGTAGTCCGGGGCTGGGAACGCGGACTTGAACGATGCAGAGACAATGATTGCCACGGCTCCGCCAGCCAGAATCCCGAAGCCCTGCATCGCGAACACGGCCGCGATGAAGGCGCCCCGGGTCTTCTTGTTGGCGTACTCCGACATGATGGTGGCGGAGAGAGGGTAGTCCCCGCCGATGCCGAACCCGAGCCAGAAGCGGAAGAAGCAGAGCGTGGCCATCACGCTCTTCGGGGTGTGCCCGAACGAGAGGCCCGAAGCCACGGAGCACACGACCATCATCATAAGCGTCATCCCGTACACCTTCTTCCTCCCGAGCTTGTCCCCGAGCCACCCGAAGAAGAGCTGCCCCGCCAGCGTGCCGCAGAAGGCGACCCCGTTGACGGCAGCAGCCACGTTGGGTGGCAGAGTTCCTGGCTTGTGGGATCCTTCGACGTGGTAGTAGATTCTCCCGAGCAGTTTGGTGACTAGTGAGATGCAAAAGAGATCATAGGCGTCGGTGAAGAAGCCCATGCCGGCGATCACTATGGCCGTGAAGTGGTACCATTGGGTTTTTGCCAAATCAAGTGCGCTTAGAACTTGCAGTTGATTTCCGGCCATGGCTCTCTCCTCTCTTTAATACTCTTCTCGATTCCTGCAACTAAAACATTGGAAGAAGATTATGAAATGAAATATGTATTCTCTCTTCTTATTTTTTTTGTAATTTTGATTTCACCCAACTCAAATTTCAAACCCATTTATATTATTTTGCTCAAATTTCATTCCGTTTTAAAGGGCAAAAATAGACAGGTTGACCAAATTTTAGTGCTTGAATCTGTTAGAGTATACTGAGTATATAATTTGAATTTTATTTCGATCCGTAGAATTTGAATTTTGGATTTTCAATTTTTTCCATACGTTATACGGAGTACAATTTAAAATCCGGAATTGGTAGGTTTGGAATATTATTTTTCAATTAAGTCACATTTTTCAATTTTTAATAGATAACAAAGAAACAAAAAATATATAGACTCTGTTACTCATACTTTTTGTTCAATGTTGAACACTTAAAGTCAAACAAGCTGTCTTAGTTTTTAATTTTCCGCTTCAAAAAAAAAGAGAAAATCAGACGAGTTTAATTTTTCAACAAACGCGGGAATGAAAGGGACGTGAAACAAATTCAAAAGAAGAAAACAGATGCCAAGTGACAGGCTATCTTTTAATTTTATGATAAATGAAATGCTTGTAACATTATTTAAAAGGTTAATGAATTCTTGAAATTCATCTAAAAATTTTGCTTTGTATGATATAATATATACTCCTTCCGTCTCATTTTAAATTGTCCATTTTGACTTTGGGGCATATTTAAGAAATGAAAAAAGTGATGTTGATTTTTCAAAAATATCTTACTTTTTTTACGGGAGTGGTGATGAATGAGAACATAAAGTAGAGAGGAGTGACTTATTTTAGAGATAGTTTAGATATTTTATACTCCCTCCGTCCTAAAATTAACTTCTCATTTTCTTTTTTGGGTTGTCCTAAAATTAACTTCTCATTTCCTTAAATGGCAACCTTTTTTGTATTGAATGACAACAATACCCCCCACAACTTATCTTTTCTTTTCCAACAAAGAACCTTATACAGAGTATCTCGTTTCCATCTCCATTTTGTCAAATGGGCTACAAGAATAACATCATAGTACACGTTCTGATTCGTTTTCATGGGCAACAAATCTAGCAATTAAAGAGGTTTTGCACATGGGTAATTTCATAATCTATTTCTTTTTCTTTTGATTAAGAACTCGACTTTCTTTTCCATCTCAATTTCCTTCTTTATTTCAATTTCAATTTCCTTTTCTTTTTTAAGAGATTTCATTTTTCTTTCATTTTTGATTTCTCACGGTTGAAACCGGCATCGGCATCGCAAAAGCAAGCCTCGATGAGCAAACTAGATCTGTAATTGTGACTCCACATCAGATCTACTGTGAAGGAGATTCAGATCTGCTTTTTGAAAATGGCGATGAAGCAGCAATGGTCGGGGGGTGAAGTTTGATGAAATCCAGGTGATGGTGATGAATTACCACCTCCTCCTACCTCTACCTACCTCGTGCCATCTAGACTTCCTATTAATCAAAAGATAAAGAAATAAAAATTTGCCTTATGTTGTTTTCACGTTTACCATCCGGCATATATGGAAAGTCAAAGTAAATTTTACACTTCCTTAAAAATGAGTACCGGTCAAACCGGGAAATTAAATATAGGACGGAGGGAGTACTTAAAAGTTTATTATTATAAGAAACATGGAACATATTTTGGATGGAACGAACAAAAAAAGAAAACAGACAATTTAAAATAGGACGGGGGAGTAGTATGGATTAGAGATTAAAAACTATGATCTCAAAAAAATCAAATGAAAATGTTATTTAGATGGTGTTGCATATGAGCCCATTTGGAAATAACGTTTTTGATTAACATCATTTTGGATAAAATTTTAACGATAGAGATTAACTTTGAAAACGCTAATATTAAACGCTGTTCGTAGATTCCCTTTACAAAATACTAACGCTTTCTATTTCCAAACAGGCCCTATATGTCAATTTTTTATATCAAAATGGGAAGTCCATTGTTCTACAAAATCGAAAGTTTGCTTAGAAATCATCCTAAATAGGACTAAAACATAGAGAAGAGTACTAAAATAGGACTTTCATGTTTTTTTCCGGAATAGGACTTTGCACTGTTGTAATGTGACTTTGCATTGTGGTAATGTGGCAGTGTACATGTGCAAATTACTATACTTTTTTGGTAATGTATATGACCATGTTTGGTAATGTAAGTCCTATTTTGGGAATAAAAACATGGAAGTCCTATTTTGGTATATTTTCAATGTTTTAGTCCTAGTTTGGTCTTTCTCCCAAGTCTGCTGCGCTAAAGTCAAAGAAGACATAATTGGGTTTCAAGCATTAAACACTCTAGAACAATCATAAAAACATTATTTATAATGTCTTGTAAATTATTTATAAGTATTTGATAAAATAAAATATTCTTGTCACCTCTTGATTTTTAAAATTTTTGACATTATTTTTAAATATGTAATTTTTATTTCTTATTATAATACCAATTTGTAAAAAAAATGATTTCAAAAAGTGAAAAAAATTTTCTCGTATATCCCAATTATGACTTATGAGTCGACTAAATTGCTCCACATTTCAGGTGCCAAATTTTGAATTTGCGGAATTTAGTTAAAATTATTATTGTATTCAGATTTCTGTTAGAGACTCTCGTTAGTCGTTATCATGTTTCAAAAATGTAAGAAAATCAAAATTTTAAATGTGAACATTGTGACTATATATATATATATATATATATATATATATATATATATATATATATATATATATATATATATATATATATAAACACCACTCTTCAGATTCCAATTTTTAGTTTCTGAAACTTTAGACTCCAATAAGATTTAAGGCGTAAGGACCCTAAAAATTTGTATCATCATAATTTCTCGTATTATTATTATTATTATTGATATGAACTGAATTTACTTGTCTGGAAAAGTTCATTTTTTTAAAAAAATAAAAAATGAACAATGCTTTCTTATTTCCAAAGTATTACGGAGTATTTAAAGATAAAAACCTTTGGAAAAAAAAAGTAGTTGGAGTCGGTGCAAGTAGGGAGCTGTTGACTTGCTACAATAATATCTCATGACTTATGGGACAAAAAAATGAAAGCGGTTAATTAAAGCCACAATATAATCAATCAATATAATATTCTTTTGTGAGTCCCTCCTTCACACTAGTTTTTTGAGTTTAACTCTTTGAAATTCAATTCACTTTAATTTATTATTGTGTTATTTCAGCTAATTAACTTCTTGCTCAGTTAAATTATATTGTGTTAAATTAACTAATATTCCTTGCGATCCTAAAAAATTTTCCTGTTTTGACTTTTTTTGTTAAAGAGAGACACATTTTCACCATAAATTGTGAAAAAAATATAATTAATTATAATATATATTTAATATATTTGGGTTCATCTTATGATATAGTTTTAATATATTAAATTTTAATATTATTTATTTATTTAGAATATATTTAATTTATGGTCAAAGAGTGTCACTATTTGATTAAAAAAGTCAAAACAAGAAAGATTTTTAGGAATCATTTAGTAAAAATTCATGCACATACGATTTTGGAATTTATCTATAGAAAAATGTCTTATCAAATAACGTGAGCTATCACCCTACAAAGCTTGAGAAGGTAACTAAGTTTGTTAATGTTAACATCAATAATCCTTTTGTCCAAAAAATATTTTTCTTCCCAGAATAATTTTCTTGGTATAACATTTTAGCTCTTGATCGTGATTTACGGATAAAATAAATTGAATTGTCACAATGATAAGTTTGATATCAATAGATTTATTTTGAAACATAATTTTTAAATATTACGAGAAATATTTTTATATAAATATAGATGTTAACACGAGAAAGTCTCACTACATGCATTTATGATAATTCTCCTCTTGTCACAAATTGATCGTTTGTGGGGAAATTTAGGTAAAAGCACACATTAATCCACATATCCTTTGTACTACTTCGATCCCTAAATATTTGTCACACTTCTATTCCCGAGGTAAAATATCAAGTTTTTTCAATTCATTTTATTTACATATTGGTATAGAAATAAAAAATAAAATTTACATATAAAAAAATACATGAAAAGTTCTTCGAAATAAGAGGTGTCAAAAATATTTTTATTTTATCAAATAACCAATGAAAACGTAGAAATAAATAAAAAATTTCGCGTCAGCTGAAAAAACAAATGTGGCAAATATTTTGGGACTGAGAGATTATTTTTGTTCTAAATCATGTAACTAGCATAGCTAATTACATCAATATAGACCATATACGCTCAAAATTAAACCAAACAAACTTGGACCAAACATTTTAAGATTTGAAGATTAGGGAGTAAATCATAAAAAGCTAAAGTGCGTGGAGCTCGGAATAATTCAAACATTTATAAATTCATCTAATTCATATTTTGCTAATGCATCACAAACAAACTCTCAACAAAGTTCTTATGTGTAAAAGCCTTTTCTTAGGTCTACAATTAAAATTTTAAATTTTTGGTTAAATTAATTAGTTTTTAAATATGATATCGGAATGAATCATGCTAACTTAGCTAGAGAAGTCATGTTATCTAACTTCAATATCATTTTCTTTCAAAAAAAATAGAAAAATATACCGAAATGTACTCTGAAGTACTAACACATAATGTCAAATTACGAATAATGTGTTACAATGTCATCGACCTATTTATAAAATATACGGAAAATATAAATAATTGCCTTCTATTTATTAATTAAACAAATTAAGATTGATCTCGAAATAGTGTTGGGGAGTACATTTAAGTGGTGGACTAACCTGGCCTGAGACAGATTACCTCGCCGGAGCAAAGTCGGACGGAGACGATCGCCGACGGGAAGTGGCCGGAGAAGACTCTAAAGCTCTCAAGTCTTGCATTAATGCATTTATTAGTTTATAAGTGGGAATTGAAGAAATAATGTGTGACTGGGTGTTATTTAACCTCGCCGAGGTGGCATCTTCCCCCGGGAATATTCCTTTGCCGGGCCCCAGTTACGAAAAGCCACCGCCGTTACGATTTCGCCACGTGTCCTGTTCGTCCCCATAGTGTGGGTTCGGTCCTATGTGGCGTCGTTTGGACCGTCTATTCCCCGTTGCTTGAGCGTTGTAGATTTCAGACTTGCAGCTCCCGCCAGGTCAACGGTTTGAACTCCACTTTCCCACTGCTTTTTCCCACCAACTCGATCTACATCGTCTTATTTTTAAATTCACGGACATAGTTATAATTGTTGTCTATGATTCACTCTTTTTTTGTTCAATTGTGAAAAACATTAAGAAAAAAGTTGAATATAATTTTAAACAAATGAACGTAGAAAAATATAATATAAAATCTATGCGCACACACTGGGGTCACTGCTCCCATAGCCTATAACATGTATCTACCGTGAAAGTATGAGTTTAAAATAAAATCACCACTCGCTACATTAACATTGAAAATGTAATAGAGGTATTGTTGCATAATTAATAAATTCATCATACTGATTCATTAAAAGACTATTGATTTTTGTTTAAGGGAGTGAGCAATGGCGGATCCAGAAAATTTTTCCACTGGGGGCATTATTCCCACCTTGTCTTCCAAATTGATCGCTCTGTCTTCTTTCACACTGTAACCTAACCAATTACGATATTTATCAAACTAATCTTCAATAAAATGCTTAGGACTATTCTCAATCATTCTACGTGGAAAATCATGGCCACGGGGTTGACATGGTTCTCTAATCAAATATTTTCTTCTTATTTCATCTCTTTGATTAAGGTGATAATCTAAAAAAAATTTCCTTTTGAAGGATCCCGCAGAAGACCACTTCAATCAAGTTATTTAGGTATTGAAAGGTGCAGATGGTCCAGAATTGGGTGTCGATGGAGTTTTTCGTTTAAAAAACTTCTCCATTATCTAAAAAAAGTAATGTAATAAACTTTTTTAGAAGATTTAAAACAAAAATTGCAATAAATTATTTTAAAGTATATCAATTGACAAATAATATCTTTTAAGGGTAATCAATTCTAATGTTTTATATTAATATTAATAAACATAAGAAAGCAAGAAATTAAACCATTTCATAGAAAATAAAAAGTTAAATCAAAACATAAAAAATTCAAACATAATAACATAATCACATAAACCTAATTTTTAGATTTATATAATTCATTATATCACAATTGACAAAGGTAAAAAATCATAATACCTGAAAATCTAGACCAAAATTCCGGAAGGATTTGCCAATCGCCGTTAGCCGCCTCTGTCTCGTAGCCAGTCGCAAAGCACAAAAGAAAAATCGAATGTGGTGTGTGTAGTGGCCAGTGTGCTCTGCCGATAAAAAACAATGGGAAAAGGGGGTATTTTTTTAATGATTGGGCTTTGGACAATTGGATATTTGTGTTGGGCACTTGGGTTAGACATTATTTGAAATGAATTGGGCCACTGGGGACAATATCTAGATTTGAATGGGGCATAACATATAAAACTAAAAAAATTATTTAAAAAAATAAATCACTGGGGCAGCTGCACCCATAATCCCTAAGGTAGATCCGCCCATGGGGGTGAGTGAATTGAATTATTATACATAAATTATAGAAAATTTTAAAATTTATATTGACTAGGTAATTATTAATAAAGTAAATGTATTTTGATAAATATGGGCGGACCTGTTATCTTGGATGGGCTAAAAGTAACTTTCAAATCCGCCTAAATACAATTCGAGCTTGGGCCAGTCCATCTATGTGGGTACTAAAGATTGTCTATATCCTCTCTTTTCAAAGGGCGGAGTGGGCGGGCCATACGGGTTGACCCTTGTTTGTATAGATCTACTATTGATTGGAATACTTAGTATTCGGCCCAAGACAAGCGTGACGATTCAAAGCCCATGTCATGCATATATATATATATATATATATATATATATATATATATATATATATATATATATATATATATATATATATATATATATATATATATATATATATATATATATATATATGCATGACATTTGTGAAGAATAAGGTAACGTCAATTCCATGCGTAAAAATGGGATAATAATAACAACCAAGATGTTCCCAAATTTGTTATGATCACAAATTAAAATTTTATTAAGCAAACAATGCAAAAAATGATTTCATACCAAAAATGAAAATGCCTCTCTATAAATATTCCATTTCCACAACCACCATTATCACAATTCACAACAAGGCATAATAACAATGGGCTCTCATTACTGGACAATAATAGCTTTTGTTAGTGTCATTTTTGCTCTTAGTAGTAATTCATTTGTTCTTGCCTATGATCCAAGCCCTCTCCAAGACTTCTGTGTTGCTGACCCCAAAGCTACAGGTATAACTATATTCGGAGTATATTGTTATACAGTACAATCACAAGTTTGACTTTTTTTTGTTTGACTGACTGTTGTGTATTCGTGCGCGTGCAGTGTTGGTCAACGGGAGGGCATGCAAAGACCCGAAACTCGTAACGGCGGACGATTTCTCGACGTCGGGCTTGAACGCGTCGCAATTCCCGGCGGCATTTCCGGGTTCGTGGTACAGTGCAGCCAGCGTGAACACGATACCGGGGCTGAACACGTTGGGACTGACCATGGTCAGGAACGACTACTTACCCGGGACCGTCATCCCGCCCCACATCCACTCCCGGGCCACCGAGTTAGCACTAGTTCTGAAGGGCACTTTCAACTTGGGGTTCGCGGCCGTGGACCCGAAAGACCCTACGAAGAACGCAGTGTTCTCGAAAACGTGCAACGCCGGGGACGTGTTCGTGGTCCCACAAGGGTTGGTTCACTTTGGAGAGAGTTTGGGTGTTGAGAATGGGACTACCATTACGGTTTTCAATAGCCAAAGCCCGGGGTTCAACTTTGTGGCGGATCAGCTCTTTGGGAAAGAAACGGCGTCGTTTATCTCTGAGGATTTATTGGCAAAATCTTTCCGGGTGGATAACAAAGTGATTGAAGAAATTAGGTCCAAATTCTAATGATCTATTGGAATTCAAGAAGAAAGAATGTCAAATGCAATGTTGTTATTTTGGAATTTTTTTTATCATTTGACATTTTACGATTTTCAAGTTAATATGAAATAATATTTTAATCATTAACATTTAAATTTGTCCATTCATATGCGTTACTCGGCATAAATACATACTCTAATTTATTGAAACTACTGTACCATACGACTTTTTAAAATGAAATTAGTGATATTAAGTTTATTGTTCCCCATATCATAACATGGGGGATTGAAGAAATACTACTTTCGTCTTTAGTATTTGTCCAGTTTTGAATTTTTGCAGCAAAACTAATTTTAATTTTTGATCTAGAATTAAATAAATATTACTCCGTATATGGTATGTATGAATAATATAAAAAAATTGAAAATATTTTATAAAACAAACATAATAAGATTATTTTTTAACAATATCTAATATCGTTTTTATTTAATCAATAATCAAAGTTCGTCAACTTTAACTGCAAAAATTAAAAACTAGACAAACACTCATTAACGAAAGTCTAACTCCATAGTTGTAACCGAAGTGTTAATTTATCTTTCTACAAATAAAAAGTAAAAACGATATATTAGAATATTTGGAGTCTATGGTAACAAAAAATACAAAAATATGTAATAAGTTCATTCCAAATTATAAATTTAAACTTCTAATAAGTTTTTGAAAATATGAAAAGAATAAAAGATGAACCCCAACTTAGGGTGACCAGGACTTAGGGTGGGCTTCGGCTGGTTTGAGCCCATTTTTTACCACCCGAAGTCTGGCCAGATTGTTTATATATACACGGGCCGGGCCGTAGAAAGTGGATAACCAGAATTGGACCAGTAGAAAAAACGGGCCCAAAACTGGCAACATGAACTTACGTGTTTTGAGACAACGTAATTTATGGTACAGAGTTACGCTTTGAGTGACGGCGTTTTAAAACCAAAGAACAAAAATAGTTTAATGGAAAAATGCAAGTTAAAGGATTTTTAAGTATACAAAATTACAAATATTAAATGACTGTGCCAGATGTTTGGGAATTAGAATATGGCTTTCAATTCTAGATTTGGTTCAAATTTCATAGTTGGATGATTTTAAATATTTAAATGTGAAATTTGGACTGAATAAGACTAAAACATAAGTCATTTCCCAATGTAGGACTTAAACTTTTTTATTTCTTAAGTAGTATTTAATAATGACTAGTGAAAAGAATAATGTTCAAGTGATACTAGACATTTAGTTGAATAATGACTAATAGATAATGACCAATGATCCTACATTGAGAAATAAAAACACATGGTCCAATATTGAGAAAGTCATTATGTTTTAGTTCTATTTAGATAAATTACCTAATTCCACATTTGGATAATTTTAAATATTTATATTTGGATTTGACGTAAATTTTGATGTTTGGGAATTAGAATTTGGATTTCAAATTCAGATTAGGTTCAAATTTCATGTTTGAGAAATATTAAAAAATTGGGTTTGAATTGAGGTAATTTCTGCTATGTAATACGGAGTATTTGGAAACTAACATTTCATTTCAATTCATGTATTTTAATTCTTGAATTTGAAATGACAAGGTGAGGTATATGGATTTCAATTTCAGATTTGTTATGAATGAGAAGATTTTGACTCAAATCTAAATTCACATTTTTTAAGTTTTTCACACATGAGATTTGATAAAATTTGAATTTGAAATCTAAATCTAAGTTGTCAAAGGTACCACTAATTCATTACAAAAGTCAATTGTACATCCATATGCATGTCCTCGTTATCATTTAAAATTTAAAAGATCAAATTTAAAAATTGAAATGCAAAAATAGAAGATGCTAGGCCATTTTTTCTTTAGTTCTTGTGCGGCTAAGCCATAGCTGCATAAGATTTTTTTTATATGCACTTCTTCTCTAGGGAAGCACATGTTAAATAAATGGGAAAGGACCATTTTTTTAGTTTTGGTCTTTGGGTTAAAAATAGTTCTACATCGATGATTGATATAATCTTATAATAAATAATTGTGTTTAGAGCTGGCAAATCGGTCAGTCAGGTTGGGTTCGGGTTTGATCACTTCAAGTTCGGGTTATTTCGGGTTCGGGTCAATTCGAGTTCGGGTTGATAACTGTATGTTCATGACCTAGTGCCATCGGGTTTGGGTCGACCCAACGGGTTATGACCTTGGTTTTTTAAATTTTTAAATTAACATTAACACTTACATTTTCTATTAAATAAATTTAAAATATAAAAAAATGTATTAAATCTATAAAATTATTTTATTCTAAACGCTGACGTAATTTAGATATATAAATCGATATAAGGAATTTAAAAATGCTTAAGTTTTGAAAAATGTAAGATAATTATGCAATATCATTAAAATTTTGTCTGAAAATATAAATTTATACACTAAAAACGAGTAGTAAAGTGTATGATTTTGAAAAATTCTTACTTTAGCGGGTCGGTCGGGGTTTAACCCATTTTTTAGCGGGTCATTTCGGGTTCGATCATCAAAACCTTTGTTCAAAACTCAGTGTTTTCAGGTCGGGTTTCGGGTCAAAAACAGGTCGGGTCATTTTTTGTCAGGTCTAATTTTGTTAGAGTCTATGCCACATCGGAAGTTGAATGAAAAAGTTATTGGTATATAAGGTCTTGAGTTAAACTAAGTAATCGATTGGATTCGATCTTTTAATGCGGTTCAACCCAAGTGTCTTATTGTCCAATCCAGTTATCTCTATCCAATCCTAAATTCAATCGTGGTATCAGAGCAGGTTTTCGCCCACCTCGTTTGTCAAGGTGTGTCCGTCTAGACGTTCATTCCTAGCGGCCCATTAATCTTTAGTCCAGTTGTCCGTATGAAGTATGTACCCAACGCTTGTGACCCGTTTAACACGATTGCTCATTGGAAAGTCCATACCCAGCGACTCGTGGTCTTTTAGGTGTTGGTGCTCAATAAAAAAGTCAAGGGAATGGGAATTCATTTGCAAGTGGTCAATCAGTTAGATTCAAAATGATCCGGTTGTCCACTTGAGGGGGAGTGTTAGAGAGTCTATCCCACATCAGAAATTGAATAAAAAAGTTATCCGTATATAAGGTCTTGAGTTGAACTAAATAATCGATTGGATTCAATCTTTTAATGTGGTTCAACCCCTTATTGCACAATCCAGTTATCTTTACCCAATCCTAAATTCTATTAGATTTTATTAAATAATGAAAGTTTTATCTTTATATATACGGAAACAAGAAAAATCTTAATCACAGTAGAATGAAAATCATAGAAGTAATATAATAAAAAAATAATTAATAGTAATATATTCTAATAGCTATTATCTACACTATTGCTAATATTCCTTGAAAGCAGATATCGGTAACGAGCAACGGCTTGAAGCACAAGTACTGGTTAGAACCGGCAGAAGGGATTTTGTGAGAATAGCCGCTAGAAATAGAGGGGTAGATCTTCGTTGCATGATGAGCGAGAGCAAGGAGTTTGTTTTTTCTCCTTTTAGGCCGTTCTCTACTTTTCTATCACTTTCTATGTTGTCGATCTCTTGAAAAAACACAGTCAAATATAATTTTTTCGTTCTTCGATCACACACATTTTTTAGAGAGGAATAAGGGATGATATTTGTTAGACACACTCATAACTTTTAGATAAAAATAGAGGGATAAGGGACGCATGCTGGCTGTTAGGCACGCTCGTCGGGATCGGTACAGTTTTTGGAGAGAGAATCTCATACAATTTGATAATGATTAGTCTGATTAAATAATGAAAGTTTCACCCCTATATATAGGTAATTCAAGAGATAATTCTAATTATAGTATAATAACAATTATAGACGTAATAGAAAATTAAAAGACTTGTGATTGAGTTTGATACAAAATCTAAGAAAAATAAAATTGAATGATCAAAATATTGTAAAAAAATTGTACACTCTCCTTCCCTTAAAAAACTTCATGTTTTGACTTTTAAAGGAATTAAGAGAAGTGTATTTTGGTGTTGACTTTCTAAAAATGTACATTGATGTGATGGATAAAGTAGGATGAGATGTGTAAATTAGTAAAGAAAAAATTTGATGTGATAGGTAGGTTAAGAATTAATAGGGGTAAAAGTGACTTTTTAATAGGAAAATAGAAGTGTTTTTTAGGACGAATGAAAAAAGAAAGGGAGAGAGTTTTGTGGGACGGAGTGAGGAAGTCACAATACTTTATCTAAAAATGGAAAAAGAAAAATTCTAGAGACACACGAAAAGTGTACTCCAAATGCTCCAACACCACACACCTATGCATGTAAAAGAAAAAAGAAAAAAGAAAAAATACCCCGAGTAAATAAAAGTGTGTGGTAACAAAATGCATGAGGTACATTTGTGGTATACATGTCGTTTCAAAATTTAAAATTTATATTATTTCTCTCATATTTCAAAACTCATATCTTATTACATAGAAGAACGAAAATGGTAGAGCATGCATTTGTAATCATAAGAAAATCAAAATTAACGTGTCCATTGGCATCGCCAACAGAGGTCAGCGACGTGGCAGTAGGTCATTACATTTCCAGGTCTAATAGCTCCGGTATCCCCTGTGGTTTGGAAATTGGCTCCAATACCCCCATGTTTTCAAAACTTATTTCTAAACCGTGGTTTCAAAACGTTGCACCCACATTCCATCTGATCATTTTTCAGCCATTTTCCGGCGAAGAGGGGGCATTGGCGCATAATTTTTAAACCATAGGGGACATTCGTGCTCATTTCTTATTTTCGCTTATTATTCTTCGCTTTTTTTTAAATATTTTCTATCTCTTTTTCATTTTCCTAGATTTTTTTAAAATATATTTTCAATTTTTTATAGTGTTTCAAAAATTTTCTAATTCTTTGTGTTTGAAATGAAAATAAAAATAAAAAAATTAACATATATTACATCTATCTCAAATTAAACATTTTCCTTTTTTGTTACTTAGAATAATTTTTTGGAAAGTTCAAAAAAAAAAGAATAAAAAAATAAAAATATGGAAAAACGAAATGAAAAAAATTAAAATACGCAAAAAAAGTCTTATACAAAAAAATTGGATACGCCTAAAAAAGTCCTTAGAATTAAGATGTCCAAAAAGGATATTCATTTTTATTTTTGTATTAATTTGTTTCTTATTTTATTCCTCATTTTTTTGAAGTTCTTAAAAAAATTACTTTTTTCAGAAAAAACAAAAATTGTTAATTTGAGAAGTACATATGCATTATATGTTGTTTTTTTCAAACAAAAATAACTTTAAATTTTAAGAACATTATAAAAATAATTTTAAAAAACCTTTATTATTAAATGTAACAAAAAAAGGAAAAAACAAAAAAAACAAAAAATATGCGAGAAATAAAAATCATCACCGATACCCCTTATGGTTTAAAAAATATGCACCAATGCCCCCCTTCTTCACCAGAAAAATGGCCGGAAAATGATCAGAGGGGGTACGAGTGCAACATTTTGAAACCACAGGGACTTTAGAAATGAGTTTTGAAAACAGAGGGGGTATTGGTGTTTGTTTTGTAAACCACGAGGGGTATCAGCGCTATTTGGCCTATATTTCCAACCGAGACATTCTTTTTAGACTCGTATAAACACGGCCTCGGGCCGGGCCTGAGGTCAATTTTTACCCGTATATCTCGGCGGGTCAGCTTGTTATTTTTTTTAAATATTTTTTTATTTTTTTTATCTGAGTTAAGACTAATCTTTAAAAAAAAGAAAAATGAATGATGGGTGTAGAAATTCATTTTAAAAGTTTAAGGCAAAATTTAGAAAAATTTTAAAAAAATCTTCAAAAATAATCTTAACATTTTTTGTTGTTGCCCAAAACAGACTATTTCCTTAACCGGCCGTTTGCTGCTTAACAACGATCGAAAACTTACAAATTTAAGTAAAATTGAAACTATTATACACCACATTGAAATTTCTAGGTAAATTTTGGATTATTCGGTATATAGTTTTTCCTAGAATCTATTATTTATAACTTCAAAGACACACACACTCTCTAGTTGTTTTTTATCACCTTCGATTTGACACTTCTACCAAGGAGGGGAAAGCTAGATTTATACTAGGTTCCACGTGAGAAATGTGTCAGGTAGATATTCTCACATTTTTCATTGACTTACAAATAGATCTTTTCTCATTTGTAAAAAGTCAACTCTTACATTGTAGTTTTGTACTTAAAATTATAAAATGAGTATGGACCCAAGTACCACATAAGAACTTGTGAAAGTTACAATAATTTAGACTCCTAGAGGACTCTAAAAACAATTAGCCAATTTTTTAAAATGATTTATTAAAAGTATTTTTTATACAAATGTTTTTGTAGAGTTTTTATGTTTTACTTCATTATACTATTTTTGTTCCACAAAACAGTTGCATTCTATTTTTTGTACACCCTACAAAATATTCTTACTCGACTTAAATCTCTTGTGAGTATAACCATTTCTCCTTTATTGCAGATAGAAGTTGTTTTGATTTTAGATATTTTAAATGGAGTCAAAGTATTTTATGGAATATGCAAAAAGTCAAGGCAAAAATATTCTGTGAAAGAAAAGGAGTATATTTTTCTATATTTAATTAACATATGACACAAAAAACAAAATAGACAATTATACTCCTTATTAAAAAGGGGAGGGAAGAATAAGAGATAAATATTCAATTATATTTCTTATCATTTTTTTTTGAAAGAATCATTTATTTTAAATTTCTCAAAGATAGATAAATAACACATCATCATATCAAATAAACATATATCTGAAATAAACTAAGAAAATGGTGATCCTTTAATTTCGAATGAACATATATCTAGTACGAATTGAAGTATAATTCTATTATATCTTTGAAAAATCCGAATGCCTGTTTTTGTAACCAGAATTTGATAGATTACTTGAACATAGCAGTAAAAGCTAAGTCAAGTCCAAAGATAGATATTCCTTTGAATATTTCATCATAGATTTGGTTTTAAGATCGATCTGAATAGTATTTTTTCAAACCCACTGTAAAGCAAATTAAAGTACCATTAAAACAAAACACCACCCAACATGTATCAAAGTATCAAAAAAATGATGATAACACAATTGATGTACCAAAATAAACTTTACATTATTTTTTTTGTAAAAAGACTTCACATTCACTTTTATTAAACCAAATGAATACGTTAAAATAATATGAACTGTGCTAGGGTACACTAACATTTTTACTTTTTTGTACACCACATTTGTTACAAAAACACACATAATAATTGTGTGTGCGATCAACTGACAGTTGTTTTATGTGTGTGTCTGTCGCAAATGTAGTGTATAAATCAGATACAAAAATGATGTACCCCTAATTTTATCATTTAAAATATACAACTTTCGTTGTAAAGTACTATTTATCCCTTATGACCTTTTGTAATCAAAATTCATAAACTTTGAGCACTAATAAAATAAAATTTATACTCCCTCCGTTCTCAAAAAGAGTTCTTACTTTAAAAAAGTGGAAAAATAAGGAAGTGTTAAATTGTAGTTGACTTCCAATTTTACCCTTGATGTGATGGGTAAAAGTAAGATGTGATGGGTAGATTATTAGAGAAAAAGTATGATGTGATAGGTAGGGTATAAAAAAGTAAGGGTAAAAGTGGTTTTTAATAGAAAGTGGAAGTGTTTTGTTAAAAGTGAAAAAAATGAAAGAGGAAGTAATTTTAAAAATGGAGGGAGTATTAGATATTGATACAAGAAATAAATGTATTAGATTTATATTGTCAAATATTTTTAAAATATAAATACTATTTTACCTGATTAATGTACCATGTGATTTTTATTTAATTTTAGGTCAAATATCAGTTTTGCTTGATTGTAAAATATCAAAACTAGACAAATTCTCTAGAACGGGAAAATACTCTCTAGCCTCCATCCCGTAATTTTTTCCTATATACTCCATATTTTTTCTTGGTCAACAGTTGATCAAGACATCACGTACAAATGTTGGTGTACCCGTAACTTTATTGTTAAAATATACTCTGACGCTCAATCTTGTAATTTTTTTCATGTTTGCTTTTTCTAAGCCAATAACTATATAAATATAATATCAATGGATTAATTTTGAAATGAATTTTTAAAATATCATATATTTATAGTGCTCCCTCCGTCCTAAAGATATTTTCACATTCACCATTCATTGAGTCAAAGTTTATCTACATTCTAAACCTATTTTTTGCTCATTTGATAAAATAATATAGTCATTGGGTCACCTCTAGTTTCATAAATCTTGTGATGTTGTTTCTAAATATATACTCCGGGTAAATTTTATTTTTAAATTCCGGGCAAATAGCTCCAATGCCCATGTGGTTTGAAAAATTATCACCAATATACCATTTGTTTTTTGAAACGTATTTTTAAACTTCTCGTGGTTTCAAAACGTTGCACTCACACCCCATCCGATCATTTTCCGGAGAAGAGGGGGCAATTGTGCCTATTTTCTAAACCACAGGAGGAACACGTGCTAATTTATTATTTTTCGTTTATTACTTTGTCCCCCCCTTTTTTTCCTTTTTTAACTCTTTGTTTCCCTTTCCTAGAATTTTTTTTTAAAATTTCTTTCGAACTTTTTATAGTGCTTCTAAAAATTAAAAAATTATTTGTTTGAAATTTAAAAAAAATAACATATACTGTACTCCATCTATCTCAAACTAAACATTTTAACTATTTTTTTTCAAGAATAATGTTTTTGGTAAGTTAAAAAAAATAAAAAAAATAAAAATAAAAAAAATGAAAAAACAAAACGAAAGAAGTTGAAACATCTAAAAAGTGTCTTATACAAAAAGAAATTTTCAGAATGTATAAAAAGTCCTTAGAATTGGGGTGTCCAACAAGGCTATTCTATTTTTATTTTTTGCATTATTTTATTTCTCATTTTTTATTTAAGAAAACAAAAAATAAAAAAAATATTAATTTGAGACGTACAGATGCAGTATATGCAAATTTTATTTTCAAATAAAAATAATTTAAATTTTAAAAACATTATAAAAACAATTTTAAAAAGAAATTTAAAAAACCTTGTTTAATAGAAGAAATAAAAAAGGAAAAAATAAGAAATGAGCATCGGTGCCCCTATGGTTTGGAAAATAGGCACCAATACTTCCTTCTTTGTCGGAAAAATAGACGGAAAAATAGACGGAAAATGATCGGAGGGATATGAGTGCAACGTTTTTAAATCACAAGAACTTTAGAAATAAGTTTTGAAAATCGGAGGAGTATTGGTGCTTATTTTCCAAACAATGGAGGGTACTAGTGTTATTTGACCTTTAAAGTCCATACCAATTTTCCAATAATTTGTTATGAAAGTACTCCTATATGCAAAGTAACTTTAGTCACGCATCATATACTGCAACGAGATCGAAATCAGTTTGAGAATGAAGAAATTATATATTTATACTCCATCTATTTCACAAAAGTCTTCCACTTTAAGTTTTTGTGCACCCCATAAAACACTTTTTTCCTACCTAAAATATCTTAAGTACCCCTAAAACAAGTTTTACTCACAATAAACAACGTAATGAGATGTGTTTTAGAATTTTTTAGATGGAGGTAGAAGTGTTTTATGAGGCGCGCAAAAAATTAGGGAGAGACTTTGTAAAACATATTGAGTATGTAAATAAATCAGAAATATTCATTGTCAAAATAATTCATCAGAGACTATCAAAAAAAGAAGAAACAATTATGGAAGGGATCGTGGGTACTCTCTACACTAAAAAAGTTCATTAATTTTTTTTCTCAGTTTTGTTCTTGGGTTGTCCAAAATTTCTTTCTTGTTTCCTATTTTGGTAAATTTTTTCTAATGAATGTGTCATTGTACTTTTAATTTACTTTTTCTGTACACTATTAATTTTAAAGACAACACATGATCGGAAAGTATTTACAATATTTTTTAATATTTCTTAATTTCTGTGCCAAGAAAAACGAAAAAGAACAAAATTTTTGGACGAATAAAGTATGAAGTAAAACTAAATCGAGTTACAAGCTAGTTTGACGAAGAAAATCAAAAGCATAAAATCCTGGTTGGGGCAATATTCTGTTTCGCAATTTTAATTTGTTTTTGTATTTTTCAATCCATTTCTAGGGCATAAGGATTATTTTGTTGGCCAATCACAACTCTAACAAATACGACAAAATCTTTTCCCCATCACTGTCTATATATATATATATATATATAGGAATTGAACTAATAATATATAGAAGCCTACCTATAAATACTAAGTAAACCTAAACAAATTGATAGTACGGAGTACGACCAAATAAAGCATTTGTTCTCAACAAATAACAAATTGAAGTGGCCATAAATATGGAAGGAAGTTCATCATCAAGGGGAAAGGCGGCGGCTCAAGGGAGCAAGGCGGCGGAGAAGGAGGAGGTGAAGTATCGCGGCGTCCGGAGGAGGCCGTGGGGCAAATATGCGGCGGAGATACGTGACCCCACGCGTCAGGGCGCCCGCCAGTGGTTGGGGACGTTTGAAACTGCAGAGGATGCTGCCCGGGCGTATGACCGGGCAGCATTTAGACTAAAAGGGCATCTTGCCATCTTGAACTTCCCTAAAGAGTACTATTCTAAGCTCCCAAACCCCCCTTCCTACTACCCTTCTTCATCACTCTCTTATTCGTCTGCTTCGGTTTCGACGACCACCGGGGCCGGGAAGGGGAAGGAGGTGTTTGAGATCGAGTGCTACGACGACGGCTTGTTGGAGAAGCTTCTAGAAGACGATGATGAGGAGTAATAGAATGGAGAAACTTTAAATTAATGTTTACTACTGCAAAATTGTTCATTTGTGGGTTGTGCTCTCTTTTCATGGCATTGTTTGTTGACCCCTAGCTATCTAAGAGTTCAAATAAATATTTCTTTGTTTGGTGTTAACCATGACTGAACTTCTATTTAATTAAAACAATTGTTAATTAGATTTTACTCCGTATATAATACGGAGTAAGATATAAGACTGAATAATCTTTATTATTTATCATCTCAAAATCATTTTTAATTTGATTTGTCTCAAAATACAAAGACAAATCTCAATCTCATTGGTGAAGTTTGGTGCTTTTCCATGTGATGTGAGAGTTTCTTTTAACACTGATACAATTTGATAATAATTAATCTTATTGGATAATTAAGAGTACATACCTATATATAGAGATTACAATAAAAAATTCTAATAATAATAAGAGAAGATAGAACTATGATAATAATCTAATAAGAAAATAATATAATAAGAAAAGGTAATTAACAATAGTATTCTACTCCGTATATTCTAATTCATCTATTATTATTCCTAATATCCTGCAAGCTGATCATCAGTATCGAGTAACAGCTTGGAGTGCAGGTACTGTATTTGAGTCGGCAGAAACAGTTTTGTGAAGATAGTCTCTAGAAGTAGAGAGTTAGATCTTCGTTACATGACAAACGAGCTTGAGATCAAGTATATTTAATTTGTTTAATTTGGAGAAGATTAGATTAGAGAAAGAGACAAAAGTAGAAGTAAAACATCAAAATGGGAAGGGTTTAAAGTAACGGGAGGAGTAAAAAAATAGGACTTCTATATGTTTTCGAAAATAAAAACATAAAAGTTTTATTTTTGTACTTTTCTATATGTTTTGATCTTATTTAGGATAATTTGTAAATAGATTATTCCCGCACAAAATTTGATGGTCTCGTTTTGAAGTACTCCGTATTATTATTGAATCTCTTTACCCATTTGCATATATATAATGTTTATACGGGCCGGCCGGTACGTATGGATAACGAACCGTTTCCCAAAGCCGCATGCATGCATGCATATATGTATGTGTATTTATATGAGGACAAAAAAGCATGGATGGCATATTGGCATCTGCTGACGATAACAAAATAAAAGGATATTTTTTGTATTTTTTATTGAGACAAAATATATAAAAGGAGAGATATATATCATAAAGAATGTGAACTTTATTTTACGCAGATATTATTCCTTAGTTCATATAGGCCTTGTTTCGATACTAGCAGTTGGCACTTGGCTGTTGGCTGTTTATGTTAGCTGATTTGAATAACTGATTGAGTTAGCTGTTTTGACCGGCTATTTCTGTTAGCAGTTAAATTTTAAGTGTTTGGCAACTTTAGCTGTTTATAGTTAGCTGTTTGTAAATAAAATTACATAAAAGGACATCCCTCCAATTATGGTATATTTTATTTTACAATTTTTTTAAATATCATATCATAAATATATATTTTTAAAATTAAAAAAATTAAATAAATAAATAAATAAATAAATAAATAAATATATATATGTATGTATGTATGTATGTATGTATGTATGTATGTATGTATGTACGTATGTATGTGTGTGTGTGTGTGTGTGTGTGTGTGTGTAGACATGATATTTATTTTTCATTTTTTTACATGTAAAAATTAAATCTTTAATATATGGATTATTAAATTTTAATTTCATTTAATTCATAATAAATTATAAATATAAATTTTTTAATGAATTATAAATATATTTTTTTTAAATTTCATTTTATTTTTTCGTATTTAATTTTTTTAACTTTTATTTTTATTTTTTACATATATTATAAAATATCTTTCAACAAAAATGATTTTAAAAAAAATATTTTTCCTAACCGCCAAGTCCAAATGCTACTCACCTTGGCATTTCAGATTTTGGCTTTTCGGATCAAAATGCCAAGTGAAAAAGCCATTAGCCAAACAATGGTTTTGGCGGTTCGCT